AAAAGTTAGATGGCAGGACTGACATGAATTTTTGGTCAAAAAGGCATGTTGGAAAGGAGGTACGCGGTTAGGGTTTATCAGACGACCTAGCATTTAGTTGTAAAGTTTTTGTCGAGGATTTTAGCTTTAGCCATTTTTTGGTGAACACCGCGATAGCTTTGGGCATAAGATCTGCTCCTGTTTTTATAGATTGGTACAATGCTCGTGTACTTCAAAATGTCTGGTAAAGTTGCATTTGACTTGAGTAAGGCAAATAATTTAGACGGGAGTGTTGGAGCCTATACCGTATACTTCCGTATGTATGGTGAGATTTTGTCCGTTCCATAGGAGGTGGTGTTGGAAAGCTTCCGATAGCCTTTTGACAGCTTCTTCACTAAAACAGATTTCACTAAGCGTGCATTCTGTTATCTCAGTTGTTGAGGGATCGGTTCTTCTTCGACTATATAGCTGGCTGAGAAATATTTGTTAAATAAATTTGCCACTTGGCTGTTGATAAATATTACCTAGCTCCTGGGCTCCTGCCTTTCGGCAATTGTTCATTTGCTTCTGAAAGAGTTGAGCTGTTCGTTTGGGGGCTTTGGTGCTCAATGTTCTGCTGCTTTGACCTTTATCATTTCCATTTTAGTAACTAGATCGTAAATTTCGCCTCTTCATCGAAGTGTAAATAAATAACTTAAAGAGGGATGTATAGTTGTTTTTCAATTTCTTGGAAAGGTAGTCTGGAATTACTGGTTTCCGATAGGAGGTTCGTTAATCTATTAAGGAATCTCAAAGTATAAATGTGGTAGATTATAAGATGTTAGCTACCTCCATGGGGGGTGCTGTTAGAAAACATGAGCATTGGTCTAATGACCTAATCTTGTTATTAATGGAGTACTTGTCACATTTTGTCTAGATTTATGTGAGTGCCAATAAAATCAGGTGCTTGTCTTGTGTCAAGAGGGAGCACAAATATTATGGCTTTGTGATAACTTTCAAAGGTTACGCAGTCGTAGTGCGTATAGAGGTGCCAGATGTCGGTGGTGAAAATAATGTCTAATACGTCGTTTCTTCAGATAAGTTTTTCAACTATTTGTGTCCAATTGTGAAAGACAATTGAAGATAGCAATTCATCGTACCTAGTGGAGGCTGAAAGTTTGATCCGCTCTACTTCTGGAAGATTCAGGTAGCCACAATCATATGTGTATTCAGTTTTGATTTTGCATATATTTTCTTGTAGGCCGTTGAAGCCTGTTTTATCATTCCTACATTCTGGAGAAGTGAAAAGGCGTTCAACCAATACCTTTTCGTGGGTATGAGTTTGTATCATGATAAAGCATGCTTCCCAGGATAGATTTCGGTTGGAACATCAAGCCCACGTTGTCCAAGGGTAGTTTTGTTGTAGGTCAAACAACCTCCGCCTAGTCTACTTATATGTACTGCGATAGGAATTATGATCTAGGACATGTGGCGAAGCATCCGATATTAATTCAGTTGCCATGTTTCAGTAATGTAAATCATATCGCGGTCATATATTTCAGCAAAAGTTCAAAGTTGAGATATTTTGTGAAGTATCAATCTCGCATTTATAAGAGCTATACTTACGATGCTGGATATGAGAGAGGCAGTCTGTGGTGGAAAAAGTGATTTCCAATGGTATTTTGATGGACTGATGAGCTAAAAGGGAGGGATTTCTGTGGTTATTGGAAGATATGGTGATGCGTGTTTTGGAATTTCAGTGTATGGGTCAGAGTGCATGGGTAGAGTGCGCGAATGAAAAGGTGGATTGACTCGGTGGTAATTGTATCTAGATGGGGTATGGGCGCACCCAATTGGGAGTCCACGTGATGGTCGTAGTAGGTCGCCCACTTTCTTGCAGGTGTCGGCTACGCCTAGCGTCCATTTACTGGCAT